TACCTAGCCATCCGAGTAGCATTAAAATAAGTTAAAATTAATTTATTAGGTAATTAAAGCCATGAAACCACCATGTCATGCCCCAGTTGTACACACCTCAAATGCAAAGGTCCTTCATCATACGCTTGTAAAATATGGGGTCAATCTAAGAACAGGTGTTCATAATCTCATGTGTGTGTTGGGGGAGAGGGGCAGACAGAGAGAGACAGAGAATGGAGTTACCAGAGACTGCCGGAGGTCAGGGACCAAGATCCGCAGAACCCAGCTTCTGGGGCATGTTCCCCACGCTGGGCATGCTAGAAGGTGAACGTCAGACTACTGGGTGTAAAGGGTGGGGGCCTTCCGCCTGCCAGACAGTGAGGGGACAAGAGGTGGTGATCGGCCCACGGAGCACATGACTGGGAGCAGGTTAGCAGCAAACCGTGTGAGAGACCCCGTAGAGGCAACCTCAGAGGCCACGATCAGGTGAAGAGCCAATGAGGGCAGACTGGACTTCTCTGAAAAAGCCCCTTAATAACTGAAGGCACTGAAGCCACAGAATATCTCTTTCCTGGAGTGTGGGGTTTGGCAAAGGACTTGGTGGGCACCAAATGGAGGCCTGTGAGGGTGTGTGTGAGAGGCCTCTGGAGAATAACAGCGAGTGGGCCCAGATGGTTGAACTCAGCATAGAAATCAGCACGCCGCTCAGGCCCTTCACCTCAATTCTTCCTTCGCGGTCTTGGAATCATTCCTGGTGCCCCATGCCTCAGCTTTTTGCAGCACCGGCTGAGAACATGGCACGAAGACAGTTCCTCAAAACTGTCTGCTCGCCCAGCCAGCATGGCTCCGTGGTTGAGCATCGACTCACCTCAATTCTTCCTTCACGGTCTTGGAATCATTCCTGGTGCCCAATGCCTCCGCTTTTTGCAGCACCGGCTGAGAACATGGCATGAAGACAGTTCCTCAAAACTGTCTCCTCGCCCAGCCAGCACGGCTCAGTGGTTGAGCATCGACCTATAAACCAGGAGGTCACGGTTTGATTCTAAGTCAGGGCGCATGCCCGGGTTGAGGGCTTGATCCCCAGTGTGGGGCATCCAGGAGGCAGCCGACCAATGATTCTCTCTCATCATTAATGGTTCT